ATTTACTTCTTTGTAAAAAAGTTTATACATTTTGTAAAATACAAACGTTTGATGACTTTAGATGTTATGCACCATACTAGGAAACCACTAGGAAATACGGAATTCTCTCACCAAAAAGAAACCACTAGTGTACCACTCCTTTTTTTATCTGTGTAAGTGCCTTAATTCTCGTTTATTATATTTAAATACCTGAGTATTGAAAGTGTTCTGATGATCCTTCGTTATTACAAGAACCTGGCTCGTTGGGCTCATTTTCATACGAATAATTATTTTTTCTCGACCAATGAATGGGAACACAAAAAAAGAGAAGAATAATCGATTACGTAATCGATATAAAAACCAATGAAGATTGAATACGCCAAAACAAAATGACGGCGAAAGAAGAGTGTAAACAAAAAACGGAGCGAAAATTATAAAAATTTTAACAAAGAAAATGATTAATTGGTTGATAATATCGATATAGGATAACAGTGTATCACGTGTATTAAAATGTTATTATAATCACCCAAATAATATCCTTATGAGGAGTAATTTGTTGTTGTTCATTCCGACCGAGGAAGCGATAACGATAACGTTAGAATCTATTTAAAAGCATGGTTTCCCTATTTGGAGATTTAGTGTGACAAATTATAAAAGTAAAAGCTGTTTTTTTACGCAAAAAAGGGAATCTACATAATACTAATAACAGAAAAAAGGTGCAGTGAAACCACACAAAATATGGGAGCACCTTTATCGACGCTTAACGATACCATCTTTATCAACAACACTGAAATAACTTTATCATCATCATCAACAGTTACTACAAAAAACAGCGGCAGTTCTCAGAATACAAATATCATTCCAATATTCATGTCTTCCACTGGCCAATCGACACAAGTAATTACTCATGTGATCCCGCCTGAATTATTTATTGATGTTTTTAAAAATATTCCACCGCAAGAACTATTTGTGGTAGCCCAAGTGTGTCGATTATTTAGAGCTATTCTATTATCCAATCAGAATATATGGAGAACTTCTCGTTTGGATTTTTGGCCGCATTTGCCTTTACCGCCACCTGATGGAATGGACGAACCTGCGTATATTCAACTCGCGATGTTGGAAAAAGGATGTCAGTTCTGTAGAAAACGAAAATCAGGGTTAAAAGTTTATTGGGCATTTCAAGTGCGATGCTGTAAAGATTGTTTGGCTGACATGACAATCAGGTAAAGAAAATTTTTGTTTATTTTTTAAATTTTATATTAACTTCTTATTTTTCACTTCATAATAAAGTGATTTCGGTCTTTGGAGTGAAACGTCAAAAGAATTATCTTCAACAAATAATGACACTCCTCAAATTCATCCTAACATTTATTCTCAATTGCCTTACATCGCGGTCAATGGATTTTATGGAGAGGAAACGAGATATCGCACGGCAGACGTAAAAATGGCACTCGCAAAATACGAATCTAATCCCGCGGAATATCTTGACGACCTAGTGGACGTTTTAAAAGCAGCGAAACTTCAAATATTTATGGCAGCGGTTGAATTACGAACTGCGGCTGATGATGAAGCGAGAGTTCATATTATTGAGGAGCGAAAGGATCGCATAGAGTCAATAATTGAAGATTTTTCTAATGATATAAATGAAGACGGTTTACCTCTTTATGAACCCGATGTTCTTGAAAAATGTCCTTCGTATAAGGAAGAAATTAGTTTACTTGATCAGCCATTCACGCTTAAAGACGAAATATCATTCAGGAAGAAATTGAAATACGAACATGAAAATCTTGCTAGTGAAATTGCAATCAGATTTCGCCAAGAGGATATTCTTCGTGAAATTTGGGAATTGATTCCGAGTGTTGAAGGATGCAGCATCGACTGTGAAAACCCAAAACACATCGAAAAACGTGCAAAAGAGAAAGCACAAAAATCGCAACCTCCTTCATACATCATACCAACGACGGATTGTATCTTTGACTGCATCGACTGGTGTCCATCCTTCACTAACCCTCCGTTTGTAAATAATGACCCAAGAAATAATTGGAGTAAAGAATTTCTAGTCTACTACCTGATCCCGAAACTTCGACAGGAAGCTATCGAAGTGCAGAAAAACGTTCGTCCGTTACCTTATTGGACTGTAAAAGGTGCTGCTGAGCATAAAATTCTATCGATCGCCAAAGTTTTTCGGTGTCGATTATGTTACGACAATAATCGTGTCTTTGATTATCGTGGTGTTGACGCTCATTTACAGAATAGAATTCACAGTCCTGGCGCCTTGGATACTATGGAGATTGCAGAAGTGGATGTAATGCGCGCTTTGAAGGCGATTTGTAAAGCTTGAATATGTATTTATTATAGTATTTATTTGTTTAGTATAATAGGAAATTATTACTCTTTGCCATTTCTTTAGTCTTACAAACTGTTTTCTTGCTTATCTTTGCATGAAACTTTTTTGGCTAATATAGAAAAAATTGTTTATATATGCAAAATTCTTGAAACATCTATATTGATATTAAATTGGCAAAATACTGTACACCAATGGAGTATATAACTCGGATTCTTTGATCCTTTTAGAAACAAAAATAATTTTTGTACATAATGCCAGAATGCACATTTTAAAGTTACTAGAGAAAATAAGCAAAAATCCAAACCGATATTATCCAACATACAAACACACTATTAATATGTATGTGACTTGCAACACTCGACGAGGTACCAACCAACGCCTTCGGATTCCAAAGTAACCAATATTGATCATCACCCTGACTCTCTCCTAGAGATTTCGTGAGTGCTGAGGAAAATGAATTTCCGTAGTATTGTCGTGCTGCGTATAATGGAGTTAGACACTCTGATCGATTTTCATTTGAGGGCAATGATTCGGTTGCAATGTAATTTACTGCGTCTTCTATTGTAGCACCAGATGAAGTTTGTTGGGTCCATAAGTTTGGCCCTTTTAAACGTTGTGATAATCGAGCTATGTAAGTTAACCCTACCAAGTTAAAGCATTGGTAATGCCATGATCGCTATTTTTTTTAAAATGAATTAATAAGACATCCAAAGAATGCATTCATAAAACGAAGCGATTAGTACTTACAGTTCTTCCACTTTCCAAAGGCTGATTCCCATTTTTCGAAATTTGTGATTTGAATTGTCCATCAACAAACCGTTTTATTGCTTGAATTGCTTCATTGTCTTTTCCAATATAATCCAGAAAAGTTGCCAATTGGACAACATAATATGTGCCATGATTATTGGCTGCTGCACTTGCTTCTTTTCCATAATCGGAATTCTGAAGCCAGTCGGTGTATTGTGTAAACCAGTCGTTCATACCCTTGTCCATATCAGAGTTCCATGAGGACGAGTTCTTTAGAATTTGTATTGATGGAGGTATATAAATCTAACAAATCCCAAGAATTTATAATTAGCTATCATTAATTTAATGTTGCTTTAATTGTTAAGTTATTAAAAGCTTACGTAATTCCTCATATCCAAGATTCCTTCAGATCTCCCTGTCCAATTCCCTGGCCCCCTTATAACTTGTCCATATTCAACATTCGGTGCCATTGCTGTATCTTTATTCAAAAACCAAACTTGCAACAACTGTATAGCTTTTTCAGCATACTTTTCATCACCATATAAAGCATAAGAAATTGATGACGAGAAAACATCTTTGATCATAGATGGAGAATCTGTCGAATCTGAGAGAGACTTTAGATCGGGAGCGTCCTGACCATCTCGTCGTCGGTACGGACAGTTATGCTCTGGATCTTTAGCTAAATCACTAGGCACTCCACTACAATCAGGCCAAGAGTATACGGCCCATGAATAATAGTAATGTTTATCACCGTTGGGTGGAGATCGAGTTGAGTTTGTGACAGAGTATGGATTTTGATTCTGTAATGCTCTCTTTGTGGATGAGCTTATAAAATCTAACGCAGGTTTTGCTAGCTTTGAATTTGTTAAATTGTTCTTTTTGAAATATTGAAGCCCGTCAAAGTCAACTAAATCGGGTACAAGTGCGGCTTTATTTTCCAGAAAAAAACTTTATTAATACTGTCTCAAAGATTTAAGCGAGAGTTTTATAAACAACAACCTGCACATAAATTCAAACAAAATCTTATAATTCCAATTAGCGAAACAAGCGTTGTAAAGATATTATTTATTTTCATATTTCTTAATAACATTCAACAAAACGTGCGAGTATTTATTTAATAATTAACAAATAGCGATAGCGTGTACTGGTGTACAAATGAAATATTTGTTTCATTTTGATATTGATACCAAACAATATTGTTATACCGATACGTATTATGAACTATTGGTTTTCTTGGCATTATTTACACTCATTACTAAATATATAAATATAGTCCGGATATCACAAATATCGATATCGATATGAAATGAATCAATAACTATAATAACGATAATAACGATAATAAAGATAAATTTGGATCTTCCTATCACTATCGCTATAGTTCCTCATTTACTGTATTACTAATAACTACATACATATAAACATTTGCTTTTTCTTCACTAGATATTATCTTTTGTTTATTTCATGATTTTATGTGTATTTTATATGCAGTATTGCTACTACTTGGCCCAAGAATTGTTTACTGTCATTGATACTCCATACATGTCCTATAATGGTATTGGTTTAGCAATACATGAAACCTCTATCGCTATGTTGTTAGTGAATCATTATTGCTACCTAAATAGTAATAACATAATAACGATAACATTCAACCACTTTTAAATGTTAGTTATCCAATACAGTGATATGTACGGTCTCCGGCGAAAGTAATATCAGTACAAATTTTACCATATACGTAATTAGCCTTCTTCTAAAAAAGGCTGGTATGAAAAATACACGGCGGTTCTGTTATTTGTAATGTTTAACGTTTCGTAATACATATTCTAATTTCGATTTACTTTAACTGGTGAGTACGCAAAATTTTACTATGTCAACAAACCATATTAAGAAAAATGTCCAGCTGAAAATATTAAATTAGAAACTACATGTATAAATATATATTAGAAAAGTAAAAAATAAATAAGCATATTTTGAGAGACAAAAGTCTCTGTCTTAATTTTTTGAGGATATAAGTAAAATATTTTTCAAGTTATTTGTTAAAGTTTTTCTTATTTTCAAAAGATCTCACCATTATTACTTTCTCCGTGGACTGTATATAGATAAAAATTTGTATCAATTGACTGCATGTATTACTCTTCTGATAAATTATTAAGTAAAATTTCTGGAAAACTTTTAAACAAATCTTCTTTTCTAATCCAACCATTTGTTATTAAACATTATCAGGCATCTTGTATGCTCAGTTATAGAGCTCTGTTCGGATCTGGTTTAGTGATTGGGCCCGTTCAAAAAAATGCGACCCGGATCACCCGAGAGTTTAACCCGCGGATCACCCGGTAAGAATATTATCCGTTAAACCCGGATTCAGAATGCTATGTGATTGGTTGAATTATTGCGGTAAATAAATTTGATCTACGTAGAAATTTCGCACACTCAACGTGATTCCCATGAACGAAGTCACAGGTTATGACTAGTTACTTAATAATTATGTTCGGTCTTAATGCGCGTCACCATTAGGGGAGTGACAAATATTAGCTAATATTCTAAGGGGGGAGGGGGAATGTCAAAATCTCATGTATTGATATAATCTTACGTGCATGTGTTAAATGAAATCTCAGGGGGAGGGGAGGGGTCTCTATAACAAAATGTATATTAGCTAATATTTGTCTAATAATTAGTTTATCCATGATTTTTGCCATAATCGTAACCGTATAATACATATTTCATTGGGTCGATTTCATATGACATAGTGAATGAATCAATGGTGAACTAATTAATGGGTTAACCGAAAAGTTCGGGCTACGTGATAATTCTTTGATAACGTCAACGATGCGAAAAGAGTTAGGGTTTGGATCTGGGTCAAGGTTATTTTGCTAACAAAAAATGTACTTATAGTAAAATTTCGCAAGGACCATTTTTTTAGAACACAAAAGATAGTTTCATAGGTTAGATTTTGAGATACAAACTTTTTTTCAAATATGTTTTTGTTTTGTATTACATGTTGATCTTGAAATTTAATTGGTTATCATCGCTGACATCCTCAAAAATTATCACGTGATCTGAACTTTTGGGTCACCCTGGTGAATTCGGTTTGATCCTGCTTTATTTGTAACTCTTCTATTACTTTTATTACTATCACCACTTCTGATTTCTTTTTAGGTTTTGGCTTTTTAGCCTTTACTTTTTGAGATTTGTTGCTTCTGGTTTCTAATAAAAAAGGAATAAAATAAAATAAAAAAAAGAAATAAAATCCAATAACTACTTATCTTACCTTCAATTGCTCTTCTTTTTTTTTGAAATAATATAATAATTCTCATTGTTATTATTATTATTTTCATTGTTATCATTTTCATCATCTTCATTATTGTTATTATCTGATTTATCATCTGGTTCTTCTTCCAGATTTTCTTCTGGTTCATTTTGCTTTAATCCATCTTTTAACTCATCATCTATTTATGCTTCTGGATAATTTATAATAAAATTAACTAAAAAAATAATCAAAAATAGCACATTTAGTCAGTTCATAATATATATATTATGAACTGACTTAGCTTAGATTATGAACTGTCATATAACTAAAATAATTTTTGTGATACTGACAGATCATAGTTTACTAATGGATATTTGCATATTATAAACTATTATATAACTAAAATAGTTTTTGTGACATTGTTAGATAGTTTACTAATAATATTAGTCATCATATATCAATTTGATAATTGTGATTGATTTTTGATGTTAAGCCATATGCAATATATTATATATCAGTTTGATGATCAAGATCAATTTCTATCATTGGATCATATGAGAAAAAAAATATGTTAATGATACATTCTGTCATGTATTATCATTTGTAGAGACATATAATCAGAGTATATGCTATCAGATATATTGCAAATATATTATTAGATATACTATATATATTCTATTGAATATGTTTGTGATCTATAATATGAAATTGCTATCATATATGCTGTAAGTTGTGAAAAAAGTGAGTTAGATTCGACTATATATGTAAAAAGGCAGATATATATTATTATTCTGAAAATATATCTAATTACATATATTGAAAGTATAGAATTCTTTTATAATTATTATATAATATATCTGAAGATTATTATATCTTGATCTATCTGAAAATATATTATCAAAAAATATAATATTCTGCCATTATATATATATATATATTACTAAACTTATACATCCAAGTATATTATTACAAGTTTGTTCACTAATTATTAAATTAGCTTACAAATGAGAATCTGAGTTGGGAGAATATAAACTGATAAAGAAAATATTAAGAGAGAAAAGATATATCTAAGACCTATGCCAATTTCTATGAAAATTGTGTTTACTTGAAAAAAAATAATAATATGGAGGAGTTGTGGAAGAGTAAAGGTCAAAGGAGAGAGAGAATAAAGGAATAATAAAGGAGATTTGGTGAGAATTCTATATTAGCATAAAGCTTTTTGAACTAAAAATAATATGATTAGTAATAACAATAACAAAGACTCTTTCACTTTGTTCTTCTCATGAGTGAAAAATATTTGTTAACAATTAAAAATTCAAATGACAAAAAGTAAAATACTTATAAATCCAATTTTAATAATTTCTAATATAGCAATTTGTTCTGCACAATATAATATAAAGCTCAATAATCCAATAACAGCGATTTGTTCAGCACAATACGATATAAAGCCATCAGCAATTTGATAGATTCAATACGATATAAGACCATATATATACAAGATTTGAAGTGTATAAAGAAAATATGAGAGGTGGGAAGTATTTAAAAGAAGATCTTTGTTAAGAGAGATTTTTACAACATGTCGAGTTAAGGCTCAGACAGTGCCTCTATTTATATATTTTTCGAAAATACAATTTTAAAATATAGTAACTAATTAAAATAAGTTAATTTGATAAAAGAAT